GGCAAAACCTTTTTGGTTTTGGGCACCGGAACGGGCCCAAACTTTTTTTTTTTTTTTTTTTTTTTTATGATGCCCAAGTACAATATGGGTTCATGAATCAGGCGTGAAACAGGCGCCAGATTCATAGTCCGGTAAAAGCAGGCCAAAAATACCCCTCCCCAGCCAAAAAAAGAAAAAAGAACCCCTTTCCACACCCCGTGACTGCCGTGACCGCCCACCTGTCACGATTTTTGTGAATGGTGACCGGGGTCTGGTCACAGACCCCCGTTCATGAAAGGGGGTACAGCACAGGCTGGTAGTAACAAGGAAAATAAGCAACAGCGAGATGACAAATTCCAGATTACGCCATCACATTGAAAGCCAGATAGTCACACTGTGTCCAGAGAGCAGCATTGCACCAATATTACACGAATGGAGGTTCGTAGTACTGAAAACCAATGTCAAGGAGAGCTTTCTCTCTCCGTCACAACACAAGAGTCTAGTCCCTTCACACTCCTACTTGGCACTCACCGCCCAGCCTACTCCTACACAGCTATGATCAGCCTACTAATTGACAATGCAACTGTTGACATCAGCGGCAACCCGAAGTACTTGAAGATGTTGCTCAAATGCAGACCATCTCCCTGACACCCGAAGACCACTCATGCGCCTCACTCAGTCTGTAACCCGAGCCCACCAGCTATGGTGGCTGGGCTATGGCGCTGCCCTCAGCAGCGCCCTTCTTCCCTGCACGACCGCACATGCTGCACCTCGCCTCTCAGCGCCAGCAGCAGCCCACGCCTATGCCATATTGGCTGGCGTCTGTGGTCACGACAAAGGGCTGATCAGGATCAGGAAGTTTGAGAACCTCATATTGTGTTGGCGCATACTTCAGTTTCCTAAAGGCTGCTTCACACTCTTCAGTCCACTCCCAAGGGGTGTCAAGTCGAGTTAGATTTGTCAATGGGGAAGCTATAGTACTAAAGTTCTTCACAAACGGACGATAGTAGCCCATCATCCCCCAAAACGATCTGACCCTAGTAACAGTCTGAGGTCTGGGCCAGTCACGTATGCTGGCCACCTTGGCATCATCTAGCCCCAGTCCTTCTGCTGAGATTTCATGACCCAAGTACAAGTGCGACCAAACTCGCATTTCTCCAAGTTAACCTTGTACTGGTGCTGTCTTAGGAGACCTAACACTATTTTTCAGTGCTCAGCGTGCTCCTCTGCAGTCCTACTAAAAATAAGAATATCATCGAGGTACACGACGATAAACTTGTCTAAGTAGTCATGAAAAATCATGTTCATCGCGTGTTGGAACGTACCAGGTGCATTGCATAGGCCAAAGGGCATCACCACAAACTCGTACAGACCGAACCTGGTCTGAAATGCGGTTTTGTGCTGGACCTGCTGGTCCTCGGGTCTAATGGCAATTTGAT